TCTTTATCTTCCAGTGTGCACTATGTACACATTGGGATGTTCATATATTTCTGTCTATTTTCTATGAAACTGCACTGCATGTTTTGTGAGATTCTTGCTTTCTATTACTTAAGTGTGTTCCCTGATCCTGTAGATGCCACAGGCTTGCTTTTTTTTTCTCTCTCTCTCTCTCCTGAACCTCAATTGTCTACTTTGTATAGGGTGCTGTCCACTACTGAGCCTTCAGTGCCTTCCCATCAATCCCCAATTTGAAAGATAATCCTTCACTGTCTTTCAGGCTCTATGCCTCAGAGTTACTAATAATTCACTGATGCACTAGTCCTTTCCACCATATTCACATTTATTAATAACTTGTGGAGATACTGATCCCTTCACTCAATCATATTTACATGTTTTATGTATTATTGATATGATATGCTTTTGTTTGTTTTTCTTTGTTTTTGTGTCTCTATTAGAGATGATTTCTTCACTGGCAGACTTTCTTAAGTTGTAGAGCACTTGCCTACCAAGCAGCATGCAGCCTGGAGTTCAAAATCCAGTACTGGCAAAAAAAAAAAAAAAGAGAGGGAGAGAGAGAGAGAAGAATGATTTCTTTGTAGTTTCCACAAGGGTTGCATAAAATATATTATGGCTATTCAAAATTTAGCCAACAAAACTTACCTTTAGTTGAATATAAAGACAATTTACTTTTATTTCCTTCCCATTACACATTCAATGTTATTCCTTTCACACTTTACATCTCTCTATACTTTATATTCATTAAGAAATAGTATGTTTGTTTCATTTTAGTTTTTGTTTCTCACTGAAGTTAAAAAAATTTTTTGGTAGTTCTAGGTTTTGAACACAGGGCTTCACATTTGCTAGGCAGGCACCCTACCACTTGAGCTACTCTGCTAGCCCTGAGGTTAAAAATTGTTTACACTCTGACTTAGAGTATTTGAGAATTCTAAAAATGACTAAAATTTACTTTTATCCAGTGAGATTAATACCATTTTCATGCCATTTTAAGGTCACTTTGTTTAATTTTTGCTTTTGTCATCTTAAGCTGTCTCACCACCTCCTTAAGGAGGATACCCACAGAATATTCTAAACCAATCAGCTTTGATAAGTGCAGGCCTTAGAAGACAAGACTGAGGAATCCATTATTGAATAAGGATGAGTGAGTTTTAGTGCTGTCCTCACCTAAAGTCAGTTTCATGGTCTTTCTCTTTGTGTATAATTGCTGAAAGCACAGTTTTGGTTGACTTTATTACCTAGAAATACCACCTCATAGAAAAAGTGCTTACTTATTTTATATTCTTATTCAATGAATGAACTCTTCATATACTGTTAAAAGGAATGAAAATCAGTGAGACTTTATTAGCATATATTAATTATGCAAATTAATGGATCTCAGGGTTTTGCACTTGCTTGGCACGTATTGTACTTCTGGAGTCACACCTCTAGCCCATTTTTCTCTGGGTTTTTTTGAGATTAGTTGTTTCCTTTTTTTTTTTTTTTTTTTTGTTTTTTGTTTTTTTCGACATGGACTAGCCTGGACCCAATCCTCCTCATCTTGGCCTCCCAAGTACTTCAGATGATAAGCAATGGCCATTGGTGCCTGGCTCAGTATGACATTTTCATATATCTATGTGGTATACTTTGTCACAAACACTGTTTTACACACTCTTCTCACCCTCCTGGTTTTCCTCTTCCTTCCCTCAAATAGTCTCTACTACTTTCATGTCTTTCAAAATAGTCATCATATGTCACATAAAAACTCTTCCTGCATAGAATTATTTACAGATCTCTCATTCATCCTTGATCTTGATACTCATGAAAATACTAATTTTGCTTGGCACCCGTGGATCATGACTAAAATCCTAATTACTTGGAAAGCTGTGATTGGGAAGATTGTGTTGAGGGGTAGCCTGGGTGAGGAAGTGACCCACATCTTCTAAATAATGTGAGCAAAATGGACTGCAATAGGACACCTGGTTTAGAAGCAGCAAGCCATGAGTTCAAATCCTTTTCCCACAATCTAAAACAAATGAAAAACTAAAATATATACTTTACTGTATACCTTTCTCAGACTGGTGTATTTACTATTAGCAAGAGAAACTGGTGTAACTGAAGCAGGTTCTATAGTCATTCATGCCCAGAACCTGTTAAGAAAAAAGGTTTCTGCTAGCAAAAAAGGCCTTGGTATTTATGCATTCTTCCTGGATTTGAAGGATGACATTTACTAGGAAGAGACTTTCTAATGAACTGAGAACTGGGTATATAGTTAGGGAAACAGCTAGAGAGAGAGTGACATATATGAAAATGAATAACTCCACATAAGCAATGGATTTTGGAAGGTATTACCAGGATCCATAAAATGGAAGGAATGGTAGCTACACCTGATGGGCCTGGAGGATCTTCTTATTCAGAAAATAGAAAAGCTAAGGGAGAAGGTGCTACTCCTGATGATTTTGAGATCTTCAGGGAAAGAGGCAATAGGATGTCCTCAGAAGCTGGTGACGAACTTGCAGAATGAAAAAAGGTGTTGAGAATTATTTCTAAATTGATCTCATCATGTTTGAAATGGCAGATTCCAGGTGAGAGGAGCATAAGAAACAGTATACTAGTCAGCTTTCATTCTGTAACAATTTCTTGTGGTAGTGAAGCTATAGGGTTCAAGTTCTTTTTTACTTCCTAGTTAGGGAGGTCCCATCCATGATTAAAAGGCTCTATTGAATTTAGACATGGGGCCTAGCAGCATATAGGATGAAGAGCATGTGGTGGAGCAAAACCATAAATACCATGTTAGGGAGCAGAAGAGCAAAAGTAGAGCAGGGTCCAGTGAGCTCCCTTGATGGCTTGTCCCAAATATCTGAAGACCATACTGAGCCCCAACTCTTCCAGGTTTGAATACCATCCAATAGTCAAGCAAGGGACAAATCCCTCACTCATTTGCCTTTGGTTGACACTGGTTCAAACACCACCAGGTAGGAGGGAATGCGGAGTGGTTTGTCAATAAGTAGGAAGTTACAGCAACAATAAGGAGTAATACTTTCTGTATATGCAGATGTGTTTTTTCTATCTGTTCCAAGATTGTACCTTTATTTGGGGCATTTGTGAATGCCCTGAATTAGCTAAGTGTTTAGAAACTTGTCTCAGACCAAGGCCAGGTCCCTGGCCCAGTTCTTCTTATGGCTATTATAAATAAGTAAACTGAAGCTGTCTTCACATTGCCAAGCTCACTGGAAAGACTGTGTACGTGCATGTGGGGTTCATGGCAAAGGGAAGATGTTGGGAAGGTGTTGAAGGTTGGAGATGTTTTTACTCTCTGACACAATTGGAGTTGTCTAGATAGTATGTTCAAAAATTAATTTCAGATAGAGGCAGCACCTGACCTTACTGAAGTTACAGTATCAGAAGAGCATCAACTCTGAGGTATGCTGGGTCTCACGGGTGATGTTCAGCAGGACTGTACTTTCTAGGGAGGAGTATACTTTAGTGGATAACTATGGGAGAGGAAGGACAACAGAGAGGCACCATCAGCTCCTGGACCAGATATCCTTTCACCTGAGCTGAGAATGTCTTTCAGGTGACAATAGAATGGGGTTGTTGTAGTACCTCAGTTTGAGGGTAGGTCATAGACTTCAGAAGTTTAAGAAGGAGATACAGTTCAGGAATGTTTGCTTATGAAGTATTCTGTTTCTTCTGACCAATTAAGGTAATGTTTTTGAGGCAGAATGTAGGAATCACAAAAGTATGACCCTTACTTTGTTTTAGATTTACTGAGGAAAGACATCTAAGTGTAATGGGAACACAAAGGATGGTGTTTTTTAATCACATGTGTTTTCTACGATTACTTTGCTTTGGTAGTATTTTAGCTGTTTGTATTTTCTTTTTTTGTGGGAATATGGTTTGAACTCAGTGTCTAACATTTGCTAGGGAGGAACTCTACCACTTGAGCTCTGCAGCAGCAAGTTGTTTGCATTTTCATTAAGGGAGATGGTGTAATCAGTGTGTACCTTGTGACAATTGAGAAAGCCTGTAAAGTACAGAGGAGGAAACAAGATACATTTGCTTCTGTCTGCTAGAATACACATTTTTATTACCTTGAGGGTTTATTTTGGCCTATGGAATTGTTGTGAGAGCTACAACTTCTTTTCTAATTAATATTTGTGCTTGCTTTTGTATGTTCTTACTTTTTTTTTCTTTTTTTTGCAGAAGTAGGGCTAAAACTCAGGGCATATACCTTGAGTCATTCTGCCAGGCCTTTTTTGTGAAGGTTTTTTTTTTAAGATATTGACTCAAATACCATTTGCCTGGGCTGTCTGCAAACCATGATCCTCCTATCCTCCTCGCTAGTAGCTAGATACAGGTCTGACCACGGGCACCAGCGTCTAACTTTTTCTGTGAAATGGGTAATTATCCACAACGTGTGAAAATCCTTGTCATAAACAAGACTAATCGTGTTTGACCTGCTGTCCCCAGTCCAGGAGATGAAATGCTACCTGCTTAACGCAGTGTGATGGACTTTACCTCCCCAGTACAGAGCTGGAAGTCCGGTCTATCCTGCAGTGCCTTTTTGGTCCTCCATCTTCTCGTAGGTGTGCCCATCTGCATAGTTGCAGCGACAGTTCATGCTGTACTCTACCTCTGGTAAACCTCTCCATCCTGGAGCACTCATCTCTCCCTAGATGAGATGAGACAGTAGTAATTCCCAGCAGTAAAAGCTTTGATCCTTGGTGTCCAGTGCATGTTTTTTGTTAACCATTGTTCTTGCTTTTAATGTAACAATAATCCAGTGAGATGTCAGAATTACTAAAGTGTTCTGTGATATAAGATGGAACTCAGAGTAGTATGATAAAAATAAATGCATTGAATATGTAAACCCACATCACCAGTGAATTACTATGCATAGTTTTCTGTTTTCACTGCTATGACATTCTCACAAGTCTTATCACAATTTGGACATATTAGGACCACTGACCTTGAGGATGTGTACTTGAACTTCACCCTGAAGAATGGGGCTTTTTGATCCTTCCCAAAGAAGCTTACAAAGAATTATGCTAGAAACCACAGCAACCTCCTAATAGGTAAATGAGCTTATTAACTTATTCAAACTGTGCACTGCTGTTCTGGCTTACTGTTGTTGCCTGGTGGGGTGTTTAAAAAGGGACAGTAATGGTACATATACATGCATGATCATATTATACCATGAAAATACTGAGCTTTCAAATTGTTCTTTCATATTGATTAAATACTAATGATTTCTCTGTGTCTATATCTTATCTTACAAACAAAGGAGAAAATGAAAATATTGAAGAGGTCTTCAGGAATCCCAGAAGAAATATAGTAATTTACTCATAACAAAACAGTAAATCATTATGTGCATGACACAAGAAGGATTGAACCAAAATGAAACCCCAACTTCCTGTTGTAAATTGATGAAATTAGTGAAAATTTTCTCTAAGGCTGGAAAAATAAGTTAAACATCAGAATCAGAAAATTTAAAATGTGGTATGTGCCATTATTCATAAAATATTTTGTTCCAAGGAGTCACAAGAGACCCTGTCCAATTGCTCAATGTACAAAAATTATCAATAAGTTTGTGCACAAACTTACTTAACTATATTAAATTTCCTCAGAGTGGGAGTATCATGTGCACTGGCATAGACTGGCACACTTTTCAACCTATCTCCCTCATGTTCATTCTTGTACTTCACAATCCAACATGCTTTTGATCCAAGGCATCTCAGTAAGCACTTTAAGTGTATTTTAGTGTAGTAAAACTCATTCAGTGTTGTCAAACACCTAACATGGAAATAGTATTATGGAAACATATGTGAACACCACTCTTTTGATAATAGCTGATCACAGGCCCTACTGCAGAACATATAGTACATTTGTGTCCATAAATCCTTATAGTAATGAATGCCATCACTTCTCTTAACAAGTCATTAATAACATAACAATGATAATCTTTGTCTGTTTTACAGACCTGAAGTGTTTGAGGGACTACATGAACACAAACAATGTATTCAATGTGGAGAATCCTTTCAACAGACTCCAGAGAACACTGTAAGCAAGGAAACTCTGCTTAGAACAGCACCATGTAAAAGCAACATTTGTAATACTTACGGGAAAACCTTCCCTGATCGCAATGCTCTTCTAATCCATGGAAGGAAACACAATGCGAAGTCTCAAGGATGGAAGCAGTGTGGAAAAGCTCAACCTTATACCCTTCAAATTCATGAAACAACTCACATTAGAGGGAAACACTGTGGATGTAAACAATGTGGGAAAGCCTACACTTGTTCCAGTACCCTTCATGTTCATGAAAGAACTCACACTGGTGAGAAACCCTATGCATGTAAGCAATGTGGGAAAGACTTCACTCAATCTTGTACCCTTCAGATTCATGAAGCAACTCATATTAGAGGGAAACCCTATGTATGTAAGCTGTGTGGGAAAGCCTTTAATAGAGCCAGTCACCTTCAGAGACATAGAAGAACTCACACTGGAGAGAAACCCTATGTGTGTAAGAAATGTGGGAAAGCCTACACTTGTTCCAGTACTCTTCGTGTTCATGAAAGAACTCACACTGGAGAGAAACCCTATGTATGTAAGCAATGTGGGAAAGCCTACACTTATTCCAGTACCCTTCGTATTCATGAAAGAAATCACACTGGAGAGAAACCCTATGAATGTAAGCAATGTAGGAAAACCTTCACTCAATCTTGTACCCTTCAGATTCATGAAACAACTCACATTAAAGAGAAACCCTACAGATGTAAACAATGTGGGAAAGCCTACACTCGTTCCAGTACCCTTCATGTTCATGAAAAAATTCACACTGGAGAGAAATCCTTTGTATGTAATCAGTGTGGGAAAGCCTACTCTTATTCCAGTACCCTTCGTATTCATGAAAGAACTCACACTGGAGAAAAACTCTATGAATGTAAGCAATGTGGGAAAGCCTTCACTCAATCTTGTACCCTTCAGATTCATGAAACAATTCACATTAGAGGGAAACCCTATAGATGTAAACAATGTGGGAAAGCCTACACTCGTTCCAGTACCCTTCATATTCATGAAAGAACTCACACTGGAGAGAAACCTCATAGATGTAAGCAATGTGGGAAAGCCTTTAATCGAGCCATTCACCTTCAAATACATGAAAGAACTCACACTGGAGAGAAACCTCATGGATGTAAGCAATGTAAGAAAACCTTTAATCAAGCCATTTCTCTTCAAATACATGAAAGAACTCACACTGGTGAAAAACCCTATGGATGTAAGCAATGTGGGAAATTCTTCACACAAGCCAGTCACCTTCAATATCATGAAAGAACTCACACTGGAGAAAAACCCTATGGATGTAAGCAATGTGGGAAAGCCTACACTCAAGCCAGTTACCTTCGTATTCATGAAAGAACTCATACTGGGGAGAAACCTTATGTATGTAAGCTGTGTGGGAAAGCCTTTAATGGAGCCAGTCACCTTCACAGACATAGAAGAACTCACACTGGAGAGAAACCCTATGTATGTAAGCAATGTGGAAAAGCCTTTAATCGAGCCACTCACCTTCAGAGACATAGAAGAACTCACACTGGAGAGAAACCCTATGGATGTAAGCAATGTGGGAAAGCCTACACTTGTTCCAGTACTCTTCGTGTTCATGAAAGAACTCACACTGGAGAGAAACCCTATGTATGTAAGCAGTGTGGGAAAGCCTACACTTATTCTAGTACCCTTCATGTTCATGAAAGAACTCACACTGGAGAGAAACCCTATGTATGTAAGCAATGTGGGAAAGCCTTCACTCAAGGCACTAACCTTCAAGCACATAGAAGAATTCACACGCAAGTGAAACCCTATGGATATAAGCAATGTGGGAAAGCCTTTGCTCATTCCAATCACCTTTGAAGTCCTGAAAGAACTCACACTGGAGAGAAACCTTATGGTATAACCAATGAGGTGAAAATATTCACATCCTCCATGCCCTTAAAGGACATAACAGTAGAGAGAAAGGCTACGGATATGAGCAATTTCCATTGACATTAACAAATGTGAATTCACTATGCAGAGAAATTCAATGAATGTAAGGAATGAGAGACAACCTACCCTCTATCCAGTATCCTTCATCCTTCATACTCATCAAAGAACTCAAACAGGACAAACGCAATGGATGTAAGCAATGTGGAAAGCCTTCCTTAGTTCTAGTACCTTCATGCACCTGAACAAACTCATGTTGTAAATAAACACTTGGGACATGTCAAATATGGTAAAACATTCAGATATCCCAGTTTTCTTGAAAGATATGAATGATCTCAGAAATGCTATCAACATAAGCAATGTGGGAATGCCTTCACCTTTTCCTTTAATCTTCTTTGACATGACACAGTTCACATTAGATTACACAGTGCTATTCATGTGCATAATGAGGCTAAGCCTTCACACATTCCAGTGCACTTCCAAAACATACAAAATTATGAATGCAGAATAGTTGAATTAGGAAGGCAATGTGGAAAGTCTTCATTCATTTCCGTGACCTCAAACATGAACGTCCTCACATTGGAGAGAAAATCTATAGGAGTAAGCATAATGAACTTGTCTGTATTCATTCCGTTAACCATCAAACAAATGAAATAATGCAATCTGTGATGAACATGGCAGAAGTAACATATATGGGACTGTCTTCTCTCTTTCCCATTACCAAAAAATATATATAAGATATTACACTGGAGGGAAACTGTATTGAAGTAATTTGGGAAAGCCTTCACATACCTGCTTCCTTTTAGCACCATGAAGGAAATCCATTCTTGCACTCATGAAAATACCCAGTTCACATGACTTTTGTTAGCAAAACATGACATGTCAACTGCTTTCCTCCAGAGATATGATGAAAGGTGGTATGAAAAGAAAACTTGATTCATGTCTTTGTCCTTGAAGAGAAGGGACACTACCTCCAAGCCACAGGTCTCATCCAGTTCATTTTCTCCTAGTTATTTTGAACCAAGGGTCTGTGAACTACTTGCCCAGGCAAATACCAACTATGATCCCCTCTTTCCAACTATGTCTCACCCTCTCAAGTACTAGGATTATAGGCCTAAGCCTGTGGTAATTGGATTATACATTCTTAGAGATCCATGGGAAATGTATTTCTAAATTTTTCTCTGGGAAATTTTTATGCTTCTTATACTGGTGCTAGCCTATAAACACAGGATCATGGGATCCTGCATGAATAGTCTTGCTTAAATGATAGGAGGAGTGCCTTCTTTTATGTGGGAGTGGAATTTGGACTCAGGGCATCAAATCCCTAACTTTAAATCCCAGTATGTCCAATGGAGAGAAAGGATTTAGTGTACCTTCATGTAATTCTTTTCAGCACCCATTGTTTCTGGGATCTTTATTTCTAACCATCTTTTTCTTCTTTCCAAGAAGTCATTGCAATTTTTGCAGTACTAGTGTACATGTTATATATTATGCAAATATTATCCACATTTCATGCTCTCGTTTAGAATGAATAATTTCAAGTGCTTTAGGATGAGGTGTGGAACTGCAAAGAACTGCCTAAAGAGAAGATTCTCAAAATCCAAGTCATCTCTTATATGTGAGGAGGAGGTGTGACTTAAGCAGTGAACACCTGCTTTACAAGTGCAAAGCCCTGAGTCCAAAACCCAATTACACCAAAAAATGTGAAATACATCTTTGTTGGGAGAATTAAAGAATACTGAAACTATCAATTATAAGATTATTTTCTAAAGGATGGCAAAAAGGAAGTATCTGATTTCACAGTTTCAGATGGAATGCCAAAAAGGGGGGGGGTATTTGTTTTGGTAAACTTTGATGATGGTGACACCAAGGATAAATTTGTAATTTACAAATATCATAGTGTGTGCTGGTTTGGGGTGTCTGATGCCTGTCAACTCATCTACTCAGGAGAAAAAGATTGGTAAAATCATAGTTTGAGACCAACCTGGGCATAAAGTTAGTGCAAATCATCTCAGACAATAACTCTGTATAGTGATATTTGCAAACAATTCCACCTACATGTAAGGTATATGTGGGAGGATTATAGTATGAGGCAGCAATGGTCAAAATGGGAGACCCTATATGAAAAGCAACTACAATAGCACTGAATAACTTAGGAGCCTTGCTTGAGCTCCAAATGCCCGTGTCCATGGTCAAAAATGCATGACAAAGCCTGTCAGAACAGAGCAAAACAGTGAAGGATGTTGTCTGTGGGACCTTGTCACAGACTTCAGCTATTGGTGGGCAGTTGTGTGGGTACAGTGGAGTGGACATTTGGGGAGAAATAGAGGCCTGGAAGAGCCTCAGGGTTTTCCCTGCATGACAGTGCTCCAGGGTAGTCAGTGAGCAATGGGTGTGATAAGCTATGTTTCTGAACAGTCTGTTAACAAAGGCCCCTCCTTATCTAAGGAAAAAACAAAGAAACATGGATTCTATTCTCTATGTCATGACAAAAACAAGAACAAAAAGACCATACCTTAAAATGTTCAACATCAGAGCTAATGAACACAAACCAGATATAATTTTTAAAATCTTGTTTAATAATAGATAAAATTAAATGTTTGCCACTCCAACATTTGACAAACAGCACAATAAATAAGTACACATCCTTGAAAGATCAAGTGAAAAATTCATGTACCATCAAATTTTCCAAACAATTTTATTTCATCAAGTACCCATAAAAGAATTTTTCCCAATTTTATACAAAATTTATGAAATTTGCATGCTAAGGCATCATTTCATCATTAAAATCTTACATGTAAAAAAGCAAACAATTCCTAACTGCTTATGTAAACAGCAATTTCACAGAAAATAAATTATTTAAGGCAAGAACCTCAAGGCACTAGTGACTGGATCAGTGTGCTATTCCTGGCTGTGCTGATCTATAGGATAGTACCCTCCAACAGCCAATGCTGGGGCTTCTTCATTCCTAAAAAATTTGTCATGACCCCCCAGAATAGGGACCTTCTTTGAATTATGCATCTGTGCCCTTCATGCTTATTCCTTCTGAAAATAGGACAAGTGTATGAAGGGAATTGAATGTACAGAGTCCCACAGAGATATGACGTCAGAGAAAGAGGGATAAGAACATCAGGCAAGGGTACTGCAAGTGAATTGAGGCCTCATGTCCACAATCAGGAATTTGGAACTAGGCAGAGGGCTGATGCATTCTCAGATGGTTTTCTTTTTGTCTGTTTTTAGCCATGAAACTGAAAATGTACCAGATATACATTATTTAATGTATAAAGTACTGTTATATGGAAACAAATTATACAAAGGAATCAAGTACAATGAAAGGCAACCTTTGAGCTAGCTCAGAGAAGGAGGCTTCATTGCACAGGGTCAAAAGGCAACCCCATATTTCCATGCTTCAACACAGCTCCAAGGGCGAAGAACACAACTGATCTATGTGAGGCCTAAGTTCCTACTGATGATCAGAGAAACGGGAAGATATAACACTGGGAGCCCATCTCCTAGTGACAAAACTGTACATTTGAACATCTTATATTCCTTACATAGACCATCTCAATTCAGTTACTTTAAGGTTCTTATCAAAAGAAACTGCCAAATCCAAAAACCCAGTCTCTAGGAGACTACTGAAATGTGGCTTTCTTGAGTCTGAGCTTCACTGATTTTCATCATGTATTCAAAGAGAAGTGTGAATCTAGAAAAACTATGCATGTTAAAATTGAAATGCTGTACAGAAAATGGTACCAGATAACCACAATAATACTTTCAGAAAGGAGAGAACACCCTCCAGCTCACCCAATTTCAAACTCATAGGAACAACTCTCTTATTGTGGAATACAAAACTGTTGAGTTCTACAGATCTACATTATTTAAAGTGCATATTATAGTACAGGATGTTAATAAAAATTGTTTTATCAGGCATTGACTAATGAATTCTGTAACAATTTCATCCAGTTGGCTGATGAGCATGGTTAGTTATCATTATTTTCTGGGTTTTTCTGTTGTTTATTTTTCCTGATTTTTTATGTAAGAACAGGGCTTTAAATTCAGGTCTTTATGCTTGCAAAGCAAATTCTCCACCACTTAAGCCACACATTCAATATTTTAGCTCTGGTTATTTTTGGAAACAGGTTGTCAGGAACTATTTGCCCTTCACATGAAACATGAAAATAGATGAATCCTTCAGAAAAGAAATGAATAGCTTGGTGACAGGTCAATTGCCTAGCAGGAGCAAGGCCATAGTTTCCATCCCAAGCAGTTGAAAAACCTAAACTAAACAAAATAAGACAAACAAAAAAGAAATGAACTAAAGGAATTCAACCTTTAATTAACCCTACAAAAAGCACAGGACACCTTTATTATTTGTATTGGTTTCTTCCTAGTTTTGCCTTGCCTACTGCAAGCCAGCTAATCAGTAACTGAGACCCCTTTCCAACAATGGTTATTTCAACTTCCAAATTAAAAGATCATTAAAATGCACAATACAGATGGGAGAACTTGTTGGATCCTGGTGGCTCACACCTGTCACCCTAGCTACTTGGTGGCTGAGGTCAGGAGGATTATGGTTTCAGGCCACCCTGTAGAAATAGGAGACTCTATACATAAATAACTAGTGAAAAATAAGCTTGAGATAGGTCTCAAGTGGTAGTGGTCGTTTCTTTGAAAGGGAAGTTTTCAAGTCCCAGTCCCACCATAAAAAGAAAAAAATCTTTATCTTTCATATGAATTTACCAAATTGTTTAATTTGGCTCACTAGGTCTATTAGATCTATTCTGTCACTCATTTACACCCCATTACATAACTATCCATCAACATAAATACGGTCATCTCATTTTGAGTTGGAGCAATGATTACTGAGTTTTGATATTAAACTGTTTGTCATTGCATCTCCCCATGGCCAAACATTTCTATGTGCTTGATCT